CCACCAGGGAAACCTGGGGCGGGCTAGCCTCCCACTAGTTCGAATTAAGGGTCTACACAGCCCTTAATTCGAACTAGTAAGCTCGAACTAGGCTTAGTCCTCGTAGAATGAGGTTTACCTAGTTCGAACTAAGCGCTCCGCTAGTTCGAATTAAGTTCGAACTAACTGAGCGCTAGTGTAGCGCCTATCAAAGTTAATTCGAACTAACGTCCCTTAGTTCGAATTAACTTTGTAGTGTAGACATACCCTCCGAGACTCAGACTAGAATGCAAGCTTCCTGGGACCCAATACATGGCTCTAATCACTAGAGAATAGTTCCCCTTTCCACTACACTATCAATCCCAAGCACACAGAGAAAGAGCAATAGCTATTTTTAATACACCATTCTGGGTGGGGAATGAGGGAATGCCAGCAATAACTCTCGTTTCCTTTAAGCTTGTGGAAAGGCACCAAAGATTTCTATAAACCCCGTTTGAGGTGGGTAGTTGGAGGCAGCAGCAAGCTGACCAACTCCCCGCAGCTGGTTTGCACGTACTTGAGGGAATCTAACACTGTCTGGCGATGCTCAGCAGCTTTCAGGCGGATCTGCTCCCGAATGAGGTCGGCATTCTCACGCTCAGCCTTTGCGCGGGCGCGGACTTCCGCTTCGATACGCAGCATCTCATTCTTATGCCGCAGCTCCATCTCCCGCTCCACAGTGGCTTTAGAAGAAACAAGAGGGTCAGAAATTACTCTAGGCATTATCCCAAAACCCAGCTTTGGGGAAAGGGATAAATATCGGCTTTGCTGCACGTCAGATGGGTGTGACCTGACGCTAGGTTTCAGTGGTGACTGGCCTCCACAAGAGGAAGCAAATCAATATAACGGCTTGAAAGCCAAGCCTAAGAATCCTCCCTCTTTTGAACAAGGAGATGGTCATCTCTGTAATATTTAGGCGGGACTGTACTAAGAATCATCATTCCATTCAGGGAACATGCTACCAAGAGAACACACTAAACTCCTTTGTGGAGAGCAGAGCAACGAAAATAACGAGGGCGAACGTGGCATCAGAGAACAATAAGAAAACTCTACTTAGACTGGTGGAGTTTGGATGCCTGAGGGGGGCATCCGTTGCACAAAGGGAAGGGTGCACACGCCCAGGGTGTGCAACTAGGAATAATGGAGTGAAAGCAAAGGATCAATGTAAGCAAAAAACTTACCCAAATGCAAAAATGACTAGACTATGGACAGGGCTGGCAGAATGCCCTTTTTTCCTAATTTCAAAATTGAATATTTTATTTTTAATACTCAATTAGCTATTTTTATTTTCATAGCTATTGGAAATTAAGGGGCAAGGAAGCTAGGGCAGAGCTGACAGCAAGGCAACCGGAGTCTCCATACACAGTAGAGAAGCCCAAGACACACATGGGAAAGGTGCAGGGAAGGCTTTGGTCCTGGCAGTGTGGAGCAAAGACCCTGTCCAGGACTGTGAGAATGACAAACCCTGGCACGGGGGAGGCCACTGTGGGGCTGAATAGCACTGGAAGCCGTCTGCCTACCTGCTGTCATGGGAGTGAGGGCACAGGCAGCGCCAGTGATGGCACAGAGGGATCCCTGACCTGCTGCAGGGCTACTGACATCCAGCCCCTGTAGGTACAAGGGGGAGGCCGCACACCCAACAATGGTCACCAGCTGATTTTTTTTTTGTGCTGATTTCAGCATGTTACCTGAAATCAACACTGGCCAACAGTTATCCATAGGGATGTAAGCGACTAATTGACTATCCAGTAGCAAAGCTTACTGCATAGTCGACACTCTAGTCGACTAGTTGCTTCCCCCCTTGCGGCCTCTATCACAAAGAGGCAGCGGGGGGAGGGGGGGAAGGAAGAGGAGCG